GAGAGCTCCTGCCCTCGGTAGGAATTGAGCTTAAGACCTAGCGTTGCAAATCATTATGTGCGTTAACCAATTAAGCCCGGACTTCTCATTATTTGTGTTTTTTTTAAAGGCAATTTAGTGAAAAAGATGACCCCTACCCGTTCTTTCAAATCGATTAGGAGTTATGTTTTTTTGAAAGTATTAGTGGGGTGACGTTGGTAGTGGGAATGAAAACCATAACGTGGTAACTAGGGTGTGTGGTGCTACCACCACGACCCAAACCCCTTTCCCTCATTAGTTGTACTTTGCAGACAAATCATGCACTGTCAGCATGTAGACAATCACACAATTGAACAAGGAGTTGGGTTCGTGGTGGTAGCACCCCTACATCTTAGTCACCCTGTTGTGGTTTTCATTCTTATTGACACCATTCCACTAATATATTAAAAAAACTGCTTAACTATTTGAAAAAACATGAGTAATAGACTGCCTGCCCCAACTGACTTATCCAAAAAAAAAATTGAACACGCACACGCTTCTAGTTACCCATGGAATTAAGGCACTAACCTTGCCCAAATCCGTCCAGTAGGTTTTTGAAATTCATGTGCTTTTTGTTACTAGTAGGTTCACGTGCATTGCACGTATAAATATAAGAGCGATGAAGAATAACAAACCTATTCATAAGATTAAAGAAATCATTAATAAATTTAATTCTAAACGTAAGGAGAGATGAAAAAAATGAAAAAGGACAATAATAAAAATTTGATGTACTTATGTAATGGTAGCTGAAGTAAAAATGCAATTATTTTACTTCCTATAAAATTATGCCAAAGTATTAGAGTTTTGAGAATGATTCACAAACTATTTAAAATTTATAAAATCCATAGTAAAAGGCCTCCAAAAAGTATAATCAAATCATAAATTCATAATATAGGATGTAAATAAATAATTCCTTTAATTGTTAATAATTATTGATATTATTAATAACTCAAAATTGGAAAATATAAAAGAAGGTATTTGATTTCAAATGTTTGAAAGTTTATAATAAATATTAAATTTTACTATAATTTTAGAAAGTATGGAAACACAAAAACAAACTTATTTTTTTTGAGAAAAGTAACTATTAAAATATAAAACAAAGATATTATTTAAAGGAAAAAGTTTATATAAGGATGCAATCTTATAATGTAGAACTACGGATGCACCTCAAAAATCCACCGAAAAAGGCTAGTTTTAATGTTGAAAAATCCTTTGATTGATCATTTCGACGTCGAGATGTATGACCATGAAAAATAAAAAGATTTTAAGTCTCAGAAACAATGTATTTTACAACATATTATCTATACCGTCCATGTTCAAGATTTCATATGTTTATAGATCTACTTGATTTTAACCATTTTTGAAATTTAAAATTTTATAATTAGATATAAAAATAGATTTTGAGATAATCTTAAGAAAATTTTACATCAAAATTATATACCATGATAAAATTTGAAGGTGCACCTTAAGTCTACAGCTATGGATGCATCCGTATGCCAACTGCACCCTTATTTAAAAGTGCTAGTAAAAGATAATGTTTTGTGAAATAACTTTAACAATTCTTTAAAAATCACAAGCTATTTCTAAAAGTAAAATAGCTGCTCTCCATTTTCCATAGCGAAGACAACATAACTATTATCAAAACAAAAAAAATATAATAAAAATTTCAAAATAAGTCATGAATATTTTGATGAGCGTGGGTACTTCCAAACATATAGTTAAGAAGATTAAAAAGGTAAGTTTATATTAAATATTTATTATTTATTTAAATAATTTTAAAAAGCATGACAGCACAACAAGGATTTTTTTGATAGTTTGAAAATTGTAATGACAAAGAACATAGTTGTTTAGAAATAGAAAAAAGGAGTTTTTTGGGGCATGTCGTAAATGAGGCGTCAAAAACCATCACTTTAAAGCATAGATTAAGTCTAAAAAAGTAAAAAATAATAATAGTTAATACTGATATTTAATCAATATTAATTAAACATAAGAAAATATGCAATCGTAAGACTGAAAAAATGTATGAAATAAAATAAAAAGAAAAGGATAGTAGAAAACCTCATTTTGATGGAGTATTTTTAATTTAGTCCTACGTATTTATAGGTTGTAGATTTGTAAAACAGGATACTTAAAACATCTGGAGTATCTAGGGAAGATTCTAAGGTTAGACTATGGTATGCGTGTGGACTACAATTTAGGGTGTCCTATGGTTCACTAGGCTAGTGTGCTTCAGGGTTCAGGTATTATAAATAAATCTTTGGGAATATCTGCAGACATACATCACAAAATAATAGATGATCGGAGTATGAAGTGCCTGGCAATTTTTAAAGGGTGCTGTTTGTATAGAGCCGAGGTTCTAGACAATCAAAGCAAAGCACACTTTCAAATAATGTTGAGAAATATGGTTTCAATATTGAAAATCTTTGTGATAGCTTTAAACTATATTTTTATTTTTAATTATAAAATTTAAAGCTTAAAAAATAGTGTAGACCGAGCAAATCTATGAAAACTTGAAAATTTTGAAATTGACGATCCAAAAATGTGTTACAAAATGCACTATTTTTAAAACTTGAAATCCATTTTTTCTCGTGTCCATGCATCTTGATGTCGAGATGATCAATTTGAGGATATTTGTGCATAAAAAAAACCTCTTCTAGTGATATTTTTGAGGTGGGCTCTAATTTGATTGTTTTGAGACTCAGCTCTATATAACTTTTTTCCATTTTTAAATCAGAATTATAATTTACCTGCACATTGGTTATAACTACCTTTATAGTTTAGTTCGATGGTCTCTTGTTTCATATCATTTCCCTCCATTCTCTCTATTTTTCATTCAATATCCCTCAATGGGAGTGAGTAAGTGTTTTCTTCTTGGATTATCTCTTTCACATTCTATTCACCTCTATTTTCAAGCAAAAATTCAATGGAAATTTATAGAAATGCATCTAAGAGATGAGCTATTTAACATATAAGCCGTCTTTGTTTAATATAAAAAAGCCCATCAAAATACAAATGATGATGATTTGTAATAATTTAAAATGAGTAATATGTTGAATAGTTGACAAGTTAATATATTTCTCCTCCAATAAATTGTTTGATTACAAGGCTGTGAACCAAGTTCAATTCTTCTAGAAAAAAATCTTCTCTTTAAAAATTTCATGTCTCTTACTTTAAGTGAAGAAGCCATCGAATCGGCCTGAAACACACCTGAATCTGACTGACGGCAATACCAAATTTCGATTTCACTTTGGTCTAGGCCTAAAATCTAAAGGTTTCGGCCTCTTCGGCTTCGGCTACGGCTTCGCTTTGGACTAGGCCTAAAACTCCAAAAGCTTCGACCTCTTCGCCTGAAGCAAAACGAATTTGACAACATTGGGGTATGCACTTCACTATCCCAAATGGTTTTATTTATGTAACGATTGCAAGCATTCCATCCCCAAGTCGCGTACCGTTTCAGCGGTTAGAGCAGTATTGGCGAGGCGTGGGGTAACTGCAGCATAGGCTCGCAAGTTGTCCGATTTTCCTTGACTGGGTTTGAGGACTGTTAGCATTAATTATTTTGAAATAAAAACATTTTTAATTAAAAACCCTAATAAATTTGTCATGTTATATGTAGAAAATGCTTTTCTAAATAATAATAAAATTCAATAGTTTTATCTCGGAATAAATTAGTTTAAAAAGAAAAAAACAACACATTAAAAATAAAACATAAATGAATGTTTCTGCGGTGCACGGTATTAAGGCAGCCATCCGTTATGTCATTTTCTTACACTTGATTGCTTAAGTGGAATCACATAATTCACTTGAGGGACACGATAACTCATGTTGTGCTTGAGTAGGTACATCCTTTCTTATCAAAGGAAAACGGTTTGATAGGACTGCAGTCCAATCAAAATAAGTAAAGCTTCATTTTTATAATTCATCAAAAATTATAATTCAAGCGATAAAAAAACGATCATTATTATTGTAAAAAAAAGAAGATTTCAAGCTCTAAAGATATAATTTTGATAACAATTTATCTAGACAGTCCATTTTACCCTAAAGATAAGTGTCTACATATCCATATGAACTTTACTATTTTTTGAGTTTTGAATTTTATTGTCGTCGTAGAAATTGAATTTAGAGCCATGGAGATTTTTATTGCCAAAAGTGCTTTTTGGATGAAGATTTGAGGTGAGACTTTATTTTGTTTTTTATATCAAATGTTAAAAAAGTAGTGATTATGAGTCTTCTTCGGTTTGGTAAAAAAAATAAAACAATTTGAAACTTCGACCGATTCAGAGGAAGACTTTACACCTTAGATAGTTATATATCTAATATATACAAATAATAGAAAAAATTTAAAATTTAAAAATATATGTTTTTTTAAAATACATTTATTTAGCTATTTCTTTGGTCGTCGAAGCAGACTCGAAGAGGTCCAAATTTTACCGAAGTAGCTTGAAGCGGTCCGAATCTGACAGAAGCAGCAGCACCGGGCTTCATTTCTCTTCGGTTTATGCCTAAGATCCTAAAGCTTTGGGCTCTTGGGCCGCAGTGAAACGAATTTGATAATATTGATTTTACCTCATTTTTGCACAATAGAAAAACGTCCTCACCAAGGATGAGAGAGAGAGCATTTACATAGGTACTCTAATTTTTTTAAAAATACGAAATACTTTATTTTTTTGCAAAATTACCCTTTAGTATAGAGACATCTTTCTACCGAATTTTATTTTTAATTTTTTTTAGGTTTTTTGTTAGTAGGCTACTAACCTTAAAACTTGGGCACCGCCCTATTAATGAAAAAACTAAAAAAAAAAAAATTAAAAATTCCGACCGAGGATTCTATCTTTTGTTCGAAAGGCAATTTTGAAAAAAAAAAAAAAAAAAAAGAATAATTTGACCGACCTTCTTTGTAATATCTTCGGAGCATTTCGTTTTTTAATTTTTTTTTACGATCCGTATGTAAATATCTCAGATCTACCTATGGCAAAAAGATTAAAGAAGAAAATCTCCATATTTAAAGAATATGTTATATTCAGCATATCGTATACAAACTCCAAGTAATCTACATCCCAAAACACCAAGAATTTCAGTTGAGAGAGAGAGAGAGAGAGAGAGAGAGAGAGAGAGAGCTCCTTCATTTTCATCCAGATCGGTTAGGCCTTTTACAAGCATCACCAACAATCCCCTCATTTCCAGCCAACATCAAATACTTATCTTTCCTTGTAAGAGTGGTGCACTCAAAACCCAATGCTTCTCCAAGCTTCTTTTGCACATAATTTGCAACCTCAAAGCTTGATTTCCCACTGGAACAAGACAACTCAAATGGCAATTTCTCCAAAACCTCAACCTCATAATTTGGGAAAGGATTCATGAGAAAGAAGAGAGGATCCAAACACTTGAACCCACTTGCACTAGTCCCATAAAACATGCTCACTGTAACATTTATAGCAACAGGCACTATCTCATCTGTCAACTCAGCAAATAGAGGACTAAACCTCAACAAATAGGGTTCCCTACAAGTGGTCCCTTCAGGGCAAACCACAAGGTCACCTTCCCTCAACAATCTCTTCATTCTCTCTCCATCTTCCTTTCTCTCTCTTGTTAATCTAACTGTCTTGATGGGCGCTAAGATCTCAGACACTCTACTCAGACTGTATGTCACAGCAGTGAGGGGCTTGTTAAGGGCAGTGGCTAGATAGAGAGGGTCCAAGAGGGTCCTGTGGGTGCACACATATAACACACCTTGTCTTGCTTCTCTCTCTAGATTTGAGCTTTTCTCTCTCTCTAGAATTGGGGAGGATGGTTTTTGATTTGGATTCTTCAATTTGAACCTCATGCCTGTTGCAAAGCCTACGATGATGGCTACTTTGTAAGGGAGGAGGAGTCCAATGAGTGTTCTGATAATGGCCAAAGGTAGAGCTATTGGGAGCCATAAGAACATGGCTAGAGAGGCAAGGGAAGTGGGTCTGAAAGCTAGCCTTCCATCATGGAAAATGAGAGGTTTTGGGTACTTTTCTCTTGGTAAAATGTAACTGTTTTTATAATCTGGGCTGTTCACCAAGTAGGCTTCCTGTGAAAACAAAGATAAAGCTGATTCAATATGTACTGCAATTTTCCAATAAATAGGTTGAAGGAAAGTAGGTCTACAATAATCAGATGTCACAAAAAAGTATAAATAATAATAATCAGAAGTCACAAAATGTATAAAGAGTGATTTATGCATGGACCCTAAATTTTTCTTAAAATACAAAATGCCTCTAATTATAAGTGAAAATTACAAAGAATGTAGATCAACCCACCTTTTATTATTTTTTTCAATTTGCCCCTATCCAGGGACAACCGAATTTTAATTATTTTTTTTTAGTTTTTTTCGTTAGTAGGGCACTAAATGGGGAACCGCACTAAAAACAAAAAATATTTAAAAAATATTTAAAATTCAAACCGAAGATTTCATCCTCAAACCGAAAAGCAATTTTAGAAAAAAAAAAAAAAAATGTTTGTAATTTATGCCTATAAACAGAATATGTCATATTTTAAATTTTTTTTTAAGGTACACATGTAAATCAATCAAGTATTAAATAAGAGAGATAGTGCTATCAACTTATGGAAAAGAGAGAGACTTAAGAGAGAGAGAGATAGGAAAGAGACAGGATTTGAAGTTTGAAAGTTTTATTAAAAAGTTCCATTAACTTATCACTCAAAAAAGAAAAACTGAGTCATATACCAAGGCAAGTAAATATAATAAAATAGAACATGAGAAACCAGAGAATAAAGACCTAGAATGATAAAAGACCAGGAGAAATTGTGGATTAGAGGGTTTATTTAAGATTAATATAAAAAATTCAAGTACGGGACTTTTCATAATTGGACAAGGAAAAATCAACTCTTAATAAGGAAATAAAGAGAAATGAAAGGACTAATTATCAAACACCGCAATTTAAAACTCGATGATGGTGTTTCAAGACGAACAATGGAAAATATCAAAAAAAATGGTTCAAAAGATTCTAATTACACTTGAGGGTATATGTTGAAATGTTTGAAATTCTCAAATTACCCATTATAAGTTATAGGTATTTTGACAATTTTAACCCTGAAGAGGTGTCATTCGATTTAAGTCTCCTTAGGGTAAAATTACCAAAGCACTGAATCTTCAACACTAAATGGGGGCAAATTGAGAATTTTTTAATATTTTTCATGAGAAAGTATGTGATTGATATAAAAGATTTAAAACAATGCTCTCAAATATAATTTGTAATTTATAATTTGCACAGTAGAATCGCTAAATCCCGGAGGTTGGTTCATTTAAAGGTTTAAAAAATCACCGTCCTGTTTCGGAATAGGGAACGGCTAGACCGTCCCATATTTGACCATAAAACGGGATTTAGCGATTCTACTGTGCAAAAATGCTAAATGATGATTTTGTACCGCAGGAGAACCAGCGAGTCTTAAGAAAAAGTCGGACATATCACCATGTCGCTACAGTATTACTGTACAAAATCAGTGTGATAATATCATGAAATGGTCATTGTGTACAGCATGAGAGCTGGCGAGTCTTATAAAAAATCAGACTCGCCACCGTGTTTCTACTGTAATTTTTTTTTGAATTCTTTCCAAAGATACGTCCGAGTTTTTGAATTTTTTCTCAAAATAATGATAATGGGCAGCTGCCCAATTCTCATTAAAGACATCACACTACCACCTAACCATGCGTCCCAGTCGAACAATTAAAAATGTGAGGCCCAAGAATTTTAGACAAGTGAATTTTTCATAACTGTTGATGTGGGACAATTTTCCCTGTGCATTTATGCGTGCAAATTAATCGACAAATCTCGAAAAAGCCATTCAGGCGTCCAGCAACGTTAAAAAGAAATGCAGATAATGACATTGCATGCAGCTACGCATGGCATTAAAACTGTTGGATAAATGACAATGGCCATATTTAAAGCAACACTAATTATACTACCTAATATGCTGATTAGTTCCATATTAAGGACACAACTTAATATGGTGATTAGTTTCATATTAAGTACCCAACAAAATGGTCTATTGGTTAGAGCACTGTTTTTTTTTTTTCTCAAATATACTAGCATCCCAAATATTAAACTAATTATGTTTATTATAAAAATACACAAGCAATTCAAAATATACAAGTAAGAGCCATCTTGTTTTTTGAATCACCTTTAGTATAATATTATAATTAATAATTATATTGATAGTCAAATATTAAATATTATTTATTAATATATTTTTATTATAAATTATATAATGTATTATTTTTATTATAATTGTAAATTAAAATTTTAAATTAGATAATATTATAATAAAAATTTCAAATTTATTTTTATTTGTATAATAAAATTATTATAAAATATAAACTAATAATTTCAATTTCAATGTGATAATTTTGGAAGAGTAATGAGAATTAATAAATGTTTGACGTGATACTAATTTCACTTTATATAGAAAATTATTATTTTAAATCTTATAATATGAAAATATTTTTTAATATTTTTAAATTATTTTGATGTAATATTATAATATTATATTATAATGAATAATTATCCAGACATCCAGATAGGAAAACAACGTCTCAATATTGACCTATACTTACACAGTAATGAAACTACATTATGCACCACTCGTAATTTCTTTTAAAAACTAAAAAAACACTATTTCTAGAGATTCATAGTGATTGTTTGAAAAAATTTTGAGGTAAAATTCATCGATTCAATCAATGCTCCGATCCGATCCACTGATCCAACACAGATATGAGTGTGGACTATTTGAATCACCGATCCGTTTACTAGAAGGGATTTTAACCCCTTTTCTCCCTATTTTCACATAGGATGATGGTTCAAATATAATTCGAAAACTTGTGACATGTTTAATGATATTACACGGGATTTCAACCCCTTGTTTCATATTTTCTCTGACATCAACCAACCTATTATAAATGCATCAACCCCAACGAAACCATACAGAAAGTGTTGGGGGAAGAGAGAGGAACTCCAAATAGTAATACAATCTATGAGTCCTGGGGAACCGACGTATTAGATCACAAGAGAGAGAAACAAGCAATAAAAAAAAGTGCAGAAAGGGAAGATAGAGGGACAGGGGATATAAAAACAATATAAAATTGCAGAAGAGGGATAGATAGAAAATATAGAACTGTACTATGAGAGAGACAATATAGAAGTCCAGTGGTGAGAGTATATTTAAGAACAAGAGAGAAACCAGGAATTGCAAGAAGAGGAATGAGATAAACAATATAAAAGAGCTGGCGGCAGAAAAATGTGTAAAATAAAGGCTGATTTACTCTGGGATCCTAAACTTCTAAGGTAAAATACGGGAAGTGCTCCGGTGGAAATCACAAGAATGTTGGTCAACTCAAATTTTTTTTTTTTTTTTTAAAAATTATCAAATCGCTAATTTTGAAAAAAATAATAAAAAAAAGTAGATCGACTTACCTTTTCGCCAATAAACAATAAACGTACATTTCGTGATTTAACAAATTTTTTAAGGTCTGTATGCAAATCACTCTATAGAATATTAAATAAGAGAGAAGACAAGTTTTTTTTTTTTTCTATTTAATCTTTTACTCACCTTGCACAGAGATAGAAATTGACAGTCATCGGGCTTCAAGCTTCCAACTCCAATGTCAGGCTTAATCTCAGCAAATGACCTCTTCAAAGCACTCTGTTTATTCACCAGCCCAGATGCACCAACAAAACCAGTGAAATAACCGTGAAAGAAATGCAACTCTGTTCCCAAAACCACCTCAACACCTAAATACTCTTCCAAAAACTCCTCAACCATAATCTTAGGAACACTGGTAATAACCACTGTCTTACTTGAAGCCATTACCATCTCATAGCATTGAGAATGCAAATCCTCAAGAAAAAACTTAGGCAACACAGATTTTCCCACCCTAAAACTACTCTGTTTCAACCCACAAAAAGAAATAAAAATCATGACTTTCATGGCCGTCTCTCTACCAACAAAGAAAAGGAACGGGTAAACTAGAGTGAGAAACAGGGCTCTGAAAATCCCCCCTGCTTCGAAAGCAACCAACATGAAGTAAGGAAAGAAAGAAGCGGACCTCAACAGAGCCCCATTAATGTCGCAAACCAAGGTCCGGTCGGTTACAGAGTTCAATGCACACTTGGAAGCCGGTGGGTATTGAGGAGAGAGAGACGAAGTCTTTCTGAGATATTGGTTTCTAAGCTTCCTCACAACTTTGGAGAAGAATGGTGGTAGAAAGTAGTGAGATAAACAGTTGAGAAGCTTGGGAGAAACCATTGCAAGTTGCAGGCTATCCTAAACTTGGGGTTTTTTGAATTCACTGGATGGTTTACGTTAGAGAGAGAGAGAGAGAGAGAGAGTTAGAGAGAGAAGAGCTTGGGGTTTGTTTGAGAGGGAGATAGCTTGAACTAAGCTTATGACATGAGACGTCTAAGGTAGAGAGAGAGAGTGTAGAGAGAGAAAGAGTTGTGAGATGAGTGGGGGAAAGGGAAGGGGAAGGGAGGTGTTTATAAGTAGTGGTGAATGGGAAGCGCGTGCATTAATGCTTCTCAACGTCCCTTCCTTCCTTACACCCTCGGCTTGGTCGGCGTTCTTCACTGCGCCTCCTTTTCAGGCTTCCAAACGGAAAACGTTGACATTAACGGAAAAAAGTTTAGACTGCAGAAGTAAGTGAGGGGTATTTGAAAAGCTTAATAAAGAAAGTGTTTCCAAGTTGGAAAACCTACCGATTCATCATCATCACCTTCGGATCATGGATATAAAGAAAACAAGAATTTTTAACACTTTAAAATAGTGATCTTGTAATGAGTTATTTAGGTTACTTATTTTCAAGATTTTCATTTGTTTGCAGATATGTTCAATTTGTACATCTTGAAAATGGACGGTCTAGATAATGTATTAAAAGATGCACTACTTTTGGGACTCGATTTTTTTTTCTATATACATACATCTCGATGTCGAGATGATCATTTAGAAGTTTTTCCAAAATTAAAACAACTTTTTTCGATAGATTCTTGAAGTGCATCTTTAATTCTACATTTTAAGGTTTCAACCTTATATAAATTTTTTCCTTTAAAAAAAACATAGTCTACTTAGCGGTAGGGATTGAAAAATCCGTTGAGTTACTTGGGCTCAAGCTCTTACCAAACCTGAGTTGTCCCGAGTAGGATGTCCAATTCGAGAATATTTAAAAAAAAAAATTTTTAAAAAATTTATGTAAAAAATAAAAAGTTTATATAAAGTTGCAACCTTAAATGGAAAATTACATATGCACTTTAAAAATCCATCGAAAAATGTTTTAATGTGGAATTTGTATACCCGGGATTTGAAGCATAACAAGGTTTTGCAAATACTGGGGCCTCAAACGGTCCATAAAAGGAAATAAATAGTACACATTAACTACGAAAATGTTCTCATTAGCGTCAAAGATGAAATTTACACGTGCTTTATTATACCACGTCTATATGAAACATAAAATTAAAATGCAATTTTGTACGTGTGTCATTGCCAGACAAATAAGAAATTTAGAGAAAAAAAAGGGGACTTTTATTGGGTACTGCTTTCATTATTCGACTTCCTTCTTTCTATTTTACGCCATCCTTGATTTATTTTTTTCCTTTGCCCTTTTGTTAGGTTGTCCACCATTTTGTCACTCCTTTCTCCTTTTGTTTCTAGCCCGTTTTTGGTCTTCTACGGCATCACAATCGAGTTTTCTCCTAAACATAACCTTTTGTGATGAATATAAAGCCACCAAAAAAAATAGGCCACCAAAAAAAGTTTGGCCGATATGAAATGGTTGGTTTGGGATTGTATACAATGAGATTATTTATTTTTAGTATAAGTACATCACAATTACTTACAATTATCCGATGCGAAATTTAATAGCTTGGGTGTGTCACAAAATTTGAATTTTTTTTTTTTTTTTTTTTTAACTTTTGAGTTTTCGTCAATAGAATAAATGCGGCCACCTATTGTGACTACCTTGTACCAATGGTAAATGACCTTGCTGTATACCTACTCTTTTTTTTTTTGACAAAGATTCCAAATTTATTAATACGAGTTACTCAAAAGAGATTACATCAAAAGAAATTAACAAAGAAGGCAAAGTCAACAACATTGTTGGCTTCACGGTATACATCAGAGAAGGAGATAGAGAGAGAAGCAGAAAGATCCATGATTTCTAACCACGGGGCTTGGAGCTTCCACGGGATGTGTGATTCCTTCTTACACTAACTAATAACATTTAAAAAGTCACCTTCACAAATACAACTAACTCCCAAAAATCTAGAAGAAATGATTTTGAGACCTTGCAGTAAAGAAGCAAGCCCGGCATGATTAGCCGTGGTAGAGCCCAGAGGACCCGCATAGTTGAATAAAATCACCCCCAGATCATTACGCAGGACTCCCCTAATACATGCCAAGCCAGGATTCTCAAAAGAACTACCATTAAAATTCAATTTGAAATAACCAGATTCTGGGGGAGACCAAAAGCACTTGGGTCACATCTTAACGTTGCCCAAAAGAAAAAGGTTCTGCAGGTTAAGTAAAACATCAGCTTGGGAAAGGCCCCAACCTTCCTTAGTTACTGAGAACCAGTTCCAGATAGAAAGCAAGACATTCCCAAACAGGCGATCAAAGGAGAGGCTAACACCATCGAAAGTACGCCTATTCCTTCCTTTCCAAATTTCCCAAAGGATCGCTCCTCGAGCAATGCGCCAGAGGAGAGAACCACCAGGAGGCAAGTGATGCAAGGTAAACTGAAAAACAATATCCTAAACCAACAGCGGGATAGTAGCATGCACCCCAAATAAACCAAATAATCAATACCATAATCTCGAAGCAACAGAGCAATGAATAAGGAGATAATTCCCAGATTCACCATCAAGCTTGCACATCAAACAGATGTTAGGAAGCACTTTACCTCTTATGATCAGGTTATCAGTCGTTAAAATTTTATTTTGGATAGCCAACCAGATAAATACATGAACCTTATGTGAGATAGGCCACTTCCAAACCTTGGTCTTCTTGTATACTTTTCAGGTTGTTTTTGTTTTGTTTTATGGTCTTTGCACGGTGATCTATCCTCACAGAGATAAATGTGAGAAATAATGCTTTGATTCATATAACATACCCTCTTATAATGTTGTGATTAGAAAAGCTAGGGATGGTCTCGCTTGCCCGATTCGTGGGTTTATACTTATTCAAGAATCACCCGATTTGGATCTGGCAGATCAAAATTGTTCCCCTAAAGGTTCAAAGCCGATTTTGGAAATTTAAAAGAAATTTCTCAAAATGCACCTAAGACATAGACAATTTGATATTTTACCTATATTTTTTATTGGAAAAAGTTTATATAGGGCCGAGGGTCTAAACAATCAAATTAGAACCCAACTAAAAAATGTTATTAGAAGTCGTTGTTTTGATGCCCAAATATCTTCAAATTGATCATCTTGTTATCAAGATGCACATTCACGAGAACAAAATGGATTTCAAATTTTGGAAATAGTGCATCTTGTAACGTATTTTTGGACTATCAATTTTCAAGATTTTCAAGTTTTTATAGTTCTTTTCCATCCACACTATTTTTGAAGCTTCAAATTTATAATTCAAATGAAAATATATTTTAAGGCTATCACAAAGATTTATAGTATTGAAACATATTTCTCAACACTATTTGAAAGTGTGATTTACTTTGATTATTTAGAGCCTCGGCTCTATGTAGAACGCATCCTTTTTTATTTAACATTAAAAGGCCCATAAAATTATATGTAATCATGAGTTGAAATAAGGCCCAGGCCTTATGAAAGAAAGTAAAGCCTTACCTCAAAACTCACCAACAATTGTACTTCTGGTGTCGGAAACCTTCAAATCGATCATCTCAGATTTGACCATTATGGTTGTGAAAAAAAAAAGAGATTTCAAGTCATAAAAATAATGTATATTGTAATATATACCTAGACCGTCCATATTCCAGTGTTCACGAATACCGCCATTTTCTCTATTATGTTTAGTCATCTATCGTAGCAGCTATTAATGACCACATAGATTATAAGTATGCTCTCTTTGAGAGTTCATAAGCATGCTTTCCCTTGAAACGTGGCTAACCACGGTCAAGAGTCTCACCTTCAAACACCTTGACTTCATACGATCAATCCATGTTCATCTCTCATCTTTGTCTCTCATATTTTTTTTGCGAGTTCGAGTAATTCGTCTAAATTTAGTCCTATTTAAAAAAAACACAAAAAAGAAGGATAAATATATAATATAATCCGCCTTCAATTAACATTAATTGTCGCCTTGTAGTGGCTAGACTAGCCACCTTTTTCACAATGGATCTTGAGTCTGATTACCCTATTCTTTTTTGGCTTAAATCAGGGGGATTCGAACTCTTGTTGTGATGTGGTGCACGATGAAACTTGCCTCACTTTTAAGACAAAATCGAGTTACTCGACCGATTCCGAGTGACCACGTCCAAGGCTCAAAACAATGCTCTCATGTGTTGGCAACCTGGTTTTGATCAAACCACAGTTATGAGACTCCGAAAATTGTCCCCATCACGTAAGTAATAACATAGAAAATATTTATGAGATTGTTATCAAATTACTTGAAATTTATGATAACCCATGAAAATAGTATTCGTTTAAAGACATCACAATTTAAATGCTTTGAATAGATATTAATATAATTTTCCGCTATCGTGAACTTATAGTCAATCTCATGGGTTGATTATGACCGATTTCTCAAGTTCTCTTTCACCTTTAACTTAGTTAAGAGTTTTTTTTTAAAAAGTGTACACGAGTATTTGGTAGATAAATGGAGTTTTTTAAGTTTGAAGAACCATGGAATATGGCGAATTTTCGAAATTAACATAGATGAACCTATGTGATTCCCACAACTCACAAGCTAATAATTATCTCATTTTATATATGTCTCATTTTTTTGCCAATAATACTGTAAATATTGTGACAATATGAACACTTAGCGGGCGTCTAAAGCTATATGATTGCCATCATATACCCTATGATTACGGGCATGAGTTGGGTTGGGCAGGATCTGAACCTGGACCTAGACCCGAATAGTAGTTAGGTTCAAATTTTAGATCCATACCCAGACCCAGGACTTCTGAACCCGTTGGGTCTCGGGTCTATTGCCACCCCTAAATGCATTGCACTAAAGGATGTGAATGCAGCTTGAGCATTCACGAGATAATAATGGTCTCATGAGCTGGAGGAGTTTAGACCCAACAAGTCCCTTTATGTATAATCTGGTCAGGTCTAAATCGGGTTTAGCAGTATATTCGCATTGGTTGGCATATCCAACTTGCCCCTAAGGCATGCATGTGCCAAACTTGTGTATTGTACTGTTGAAAACCTACAAAATTATATCCTCTACACATTCTGCATTTTAAAAACTACTCCTTGCTTTTTTCTTAGTGCTTTTATTTCTTCATACAAGCCTTCAACATGCAACTACCTAAAATTTTTATAGGACTGGTTT